TGTAATTTTCCTGTTCAATATATTGTTCTTCGTTCATATGCTCTTTCTTGAATTTACTATCATTGTATGGAAATATAATGTTATTTGAATGTTTCTGATTACTGGAAAGTAACTTTGAACATGGACGTAGATAGAGCACTTAAGTGATTTGGGATCTAGGAATAGACTCAATAACTTGATCATTCCTAACATCGGACTTAATGCAAATTGTATATTAAATTGACTAAAGGATTAGCATTTTAATATATTAATTTAGAACTAGTTGCTAAGGGATTAGGACTAGTATGCCTTGATGTGAATGTTTGAATGAAGTAATGAAATATTGAACAGAGTTTTATATTCATATGATTCATGAAACCCAATTCCAACGAAGTTTCATTTAAATATAATTCCTTTCACACTAACTGTTTGATAAAAATACCAAAAAGAGTTTCTTGTGTTTTTCTGTACACTTTGATGTCTAATTGAGTTATAAAAGGAAGAATTGTCATGTGTTGTACAAGTCCCTTTGGAGAACGATACTTTTACTTATTCACTGTATTACTTGGAACGATTTGGTATACTTGCCAAAAAGTTATCATCTTACACCAAGTATTTGTACTAAGTAAGTGCTAGGTCTTACACCAAGCGTTCTTTCTACTTTCCGTAATCTATATTGATAATAAGAGTGTTCGTCCAAACTCCATAGAATCCACCCTCTACCGTGCTCGGTCTTAGACTGGCATTCGATTTTCTTGATGATAAACTCATAAATAAGCTAAGTATTTATAGCGTTCGGTTTCTTCATATGATTCTTTTAAGTACTATCCTTTGAATGTCTTAGTAGTGTCGGTCTCCATTGGTTTCGGCCTAGAGTCTTAGTACTCGGCCTAGGCTTTTCGGTGTTCGGTTTGAACTCTCAAGAGTCAGTTCATTAAATTGGCTCACTTTGTAAATAACATTCGTTTCTATTCGTTCTTGTGAAATATTATTGTACTCGGTTTCTTTCTCAACCCCGATAGTAACCATCTCGGTCTTAATCTGTTTTGGGACTGGAGACCTCTCGGTCTCGTTCCAAGTGTTCGGTCTCGTTCGGGGTTGAAGGTGTACGTTCGGTATTTGTCATCCTAATGGATTTTTGTTCGAATTGATTAGATTTGAAGTATGAAAATGAAAGATGATTGAATATGATGTAGGTGAAATGAGTATGATTATGAACGAGTATTTCGGGGAGAAATATCTCATGAATGGATATTGGATTTTGGTAAAGTATGAATGTGGGCATGTTAAGCTGGCGGTTCATCCTGATGGTCCGTGATTACTCGTTCTCACGTAGAGAAGGGTAAGTCATGTGTGGGAATGACAGGAGGTCCTAGTCCTTATGGTTAATTTGGACAGATAGGACTAACCTCGGGTGGAAGCTGTTGAGGGTATCCCAGTTACTACATCACTTGGGTGCACGAACGTCGTAGCTACACAGAATTCGTACAGCCCGGACAGTCAGAGTCTAGTATTAGGCTTTGCATGGAGTTAATGATTTATCTTGTTTATTTGAATTGTGTGAACTATATGATGATCCATGAATTGAATTACATAAGCTTACCCTATGTTTCCTATCTTGTCTGTTTTGTACATTCGTTTGTCTTTCTGTTGCAATGATCATCCATGTGGATGTGAGCAGAAGCAAACGAGCTGCTGGAAGAAGCGCTGGAGGAAGATAATTTAGTTGAAGTAGAAGTTAAGACCAAACAGTAAAACCGTTTGGTTAGTATATTAGTTAGTTGTAAGATGATCGTTCGATCACATTTTCCCTCTTCTTTTGTAGGACTGTTCAGTATAGTCCTTTTGTAAACCGTTCGGTCGGGGTTTGCTCATGTTGTTCGATTTTAATTTTCTTGTCTTTCTGTAAGGCCGTTCGGCCACAAGCGTACTTCTCTATTTTTGTAAGACTGATCTGTAATATTATTCAATGTGATTATTCTATTATATAGTTTTAGACTGTTACACTTACTTATGTGATAAATAAATTGGTAGTGATATATGTTAATTTGGATTACAATTTTGACATTATCATTAATAAGTTATAATATTGTTTAAGAAACAAAATGGTAAGTTATCACGTCTATTATCCATATTATTTTCTTACTAGTTGGAACTTTTTGATAACAATATTTATTTGAAATTGATATAACTGATTCTAATTTTTATACAAAGAAAAAGTTGCATAGGTAAAAGTACTAGTAATGTGCAATCAGAAATCTTAATTTATAAACTTCTTTAATTGACTTGTGATTGGTTGGAGTAAAATATTATAAAACAAAATATTTATATGAAATTTATATAAATAAAAATTATAGAATAGATTCTATTTTTTAATGATATTGATATATTTTCTATAATATTGATAAACTATTATACATATAAATAATAGTTAAGCTATTGTATCAATATTTTAAGGTAGATATTAATAAATATTTTCTTGGATATTACATCTTTCACTTTAAAACCAATCGATCTTATCATTGTCTGCAAAATTCTTTCCACTTCCTCACAGTACAATAATAATAATGTAACTACAGTTTAAATAGGACACTTTAGGAAGAACAAAATTACGTTTTTTTTCATAAGTACTTCATTCTATTATAGCGCAAGGAAATAATATTGCATGTATTAGTAACTAGTTCTTAAAAAAATTTATCCAAATAATAAAATAATTCAGTGAATAATAACAAAAAAGGTTACATACTATACCTTTAAAACTCAATATTCTAGGGTTAGTTGACTAAGAAAATATTAATACTTGATGGCTAGCTTTTTCAGTTTAGCTTTATGAAATGCAAAATCTATTTTACACATTTTAGTAATATATACTTTCTGTAACATGTTTTTATCATTATAGTATCAAAACCATACTCAAGAAAAAGTAGCAATAAGTTATGTACTAAGTTAAATGATAATTGAACTATATGAAGTTTGAGGTGATATATATTAATTATTACTAAAAAGAATACACTCTATAAATATAAATTAAAATTTCTATAGTTTAATGATAAATATTCAATCTATGTATAAGTTCTTCAATCATGTACAGTTGTTTTTATTAAGTAGTGTACATGTTTTTTAAGAAAGCAAAGCTAAAGTTTTTTTTTGGTAGACAGCTACTTAGAAACTTAGGATGTAGAGTTAGGAGAGAGAGAAAGAGATGAGAGGCTTTTGCTTTTGGTTGTGGCAGTAGGTCACATGGGATCTTCTTTAGGATTCAGAATGAAGTAGTTTCGGTTGTCAGATTAAAATGGGCAAAGATCTATTTTTCTTAAAGCAAGGAATCTTCGAATAACAAATTATAATCCTAATCTTTATGTAGTATAAATTATTAAAATAATTCTTTTTTATCAATTATTTTAAATCGATTACACACGTTTTCCATTTTTTAACAGAACTAGTGGAACTTAAAAAAAATGTCAGTGATAAACAACTTTGGAAGATAGGTGAATGAAAAATAGAAATAGAGAAATAGGAGATAAAAAAATTTTAAGATAATGCGTTAGAGTATATAAATGAATGAAAAAATTGTTTCATCCGAAGATATGTAAACATTGATGAAATTTGAATCAATAATATAAGGGATTGACATCACTTTTTACTTAAAATCTTAAAATAGTGACTTAATGGATTTTTTATTTTTATACAGTGTCTTACTTTTTTATTTCTATCCAATATGAAACTTAGACTCATATTTAGATTTCCAACAATATCTCTTCAAGGATGAGTCCCTTCTATATAGGTACATTCCCCCTCCAGCGAAAGCATTTCCAATTATAACTACAAGTAGTCCTTCAAACCACCGTTTATTTTATACTCGTCTAAATATTCTTTATCAGAAAAACTTTTAGTATAGGAATCATTATATTGTCTGAGTCAGTTACCAAGATAAAATATCGACTTTGATACTATTGTTGGATAGAAGATTTATCGGAAGATTCATATATGAGCCCAGCCATATATCTTATTACAATTATGTAATTATTTGAAGAATTAAGATGTGGTGTAATTTGATTTTATAAGGTTGAAAAAGGTTAGTGGATGATGGATTTATTGTAAGTTTAGTTTAGAGTAAGAAGATTTTCTTGTTTTCTCCGTTGTTGGAGTGTGTGCAAGTTCAGAATCCTACTTCGGCCATCCCCACTACTCTTTGCAAAGTCCCAGCTAGATTTGGCTCTTTCTTTCATCCCATAAAACGACATGCCTCACTCTCTGCACCACTTCATCTCTTCTCACTCCTCAAGTCAGCCATGCCCTTTATCTCATTAGCTCAACTTTCTCCAAACACCTTTTTCCATGCAATTTTCCATCCCATGATATCATCATTCCAAAGCACCAACATCAAATAAAATATACACTTATATATATATATATATATTCATATCTATGTATCTATCTATGTGCTTAAACAATCCCACCAGAGAATCCTATTTCCATCTGTGGCCCCATTCTACATTCCAGACCTGCAAATCCACTTAGGGCCACGTACATCTCTCTCTCTCTCTCTCTCTCTCTCTCTCTCTCTCTCTCTATATATATATATATATAGTAACCATATACACTATATGGTAAATTGTTTAAACCTAGCACAAAATATATTTATTCTGCATAACTCTAAAGTTTAATGTAATAGGAAAGAAGCTTCAACACCAAGCAGATTTAGATCTAATTAATAAACAATTGTGTTTGAAATCAAATGTTTAAACAGATCACAGACGTCTCTCTCTCATTTTCACCTACTGATATCTCAGAAACAGACACATTAATGGTTTTTCATGTCACATTTCTTATCCTGTTAAAATAGAGACTAATTTTATTCGTTTTAATAAGTTGATTTTATAATATGTAAGCGCGTATATTAATCATTGCAATAATCCATTAAATTACATAAATTTGTTTAAACTTTGATGATAATTTTGATTTTGAGTATAATTTTTGTTATATTTAGAGAGAGAGGGAGAGAAAAAAAGATGCTCTACTATTCAAAGTTCACCACCTCTCTTGATCATGACTCAAGTAAATGTGTTCAAACTCTTTATACACCAATCTACATCATAAGCATAAACCGAAAAACTGGTAGGGAGAAAAAAAAAGTTGAGCTAAGCCTAATTAATGAACTTAATTACTTCTCACAACCTTTCAACTTCAAATCATTTATAATATCCAAAATCAAGTTTTTCGATTAATGAAACTGGTGCTGCTGCTCGGTCCAGGGCCAAAAATTCTGCTGCTCATCAATGTTGTGGAACATGTTGCAGAAGCTTTCATCTTGGAGATCTGATCTTGATGAGCTTTGGAGGAGTTGAGTCATGGTTGTTGGCTTGTGGGAAGTTGGTAGAAGGCTTTTTCCATTCTGAGAAGACACAGGACTGTTCATCACTGGTGTTCTTGAGAGGTCCAAGTTGATTTCTGAACTGTTGTTGCTTCCATTGCTCCAAGAACCCTCAGTGTCTTTCTTGTGGCTAATTACTGTTCCGGTTTCACAGCAGTCCCTATTTTTCAGAGTTTGTAGCTGCAAACACCACACAGTAAAAGTGTAAAACCAAAACTGTGTGTTCATGTTTTGATTCCATGTGAAGGATCAAATGCAACCTTGTCTTTTTCATAGCTAGCAACATGGAACAGTTATAACACAGAGTTTTTCAATGGAAAAAGGAAAGCAAACATTACTGTTAATTCGCAGTTCTCAGTTCTGACACTGTCACACTGACACCTCCCGAGAATGATCAACTCAATCAACAAAAACAAGTTAATGATGGAACCAAAATCTCTTTAAAATTAGTCCCTAACGTCTGTGGGATCATCATAACACAATCAGTGAAATGGAGATTTCTCACTAAATAACGGGAAAAACCAAAACCCAAAAGTAAAAAGAACAAAAGACCCTCTTATAGTTAAAACACATATGTATGCATAAAAGACTAGCTTACTTTTTTCAAACATGAAAAAAAGATCAATTTCATCCATTGTTTAGGGAAAAGGAAGCGCACTGAAACGGCTAAGAGGACCTTTACAAAATTTAGCTAATCAAACTCTAGAAAATAAAACTGTGGTGGGAATAAACGAGACAAAGAAAAACTCCATTCCTTTCTTTACAAAATCCAATTTTAACAATTCAACACCAGACAATTGGATTTTGGATTCACTTCAAACTCTATTAAGATTACACGGTCGTTTAATCATATTCTGAATCAAGATCAGGACTCAATAGAGTACCAAAATAACCCTCCAAGATCTCAAAAACTTCAAGCTCACATTTCTCCAAGAAGACCCACAGAGGAACCTTAGTCAATGACTAGTCACAAACATGGTATCGAAAATAATAAAACTTGAATGCAGTTCTTTAAGTAATTTCGATAGTATTTTTTCAATCAGAATTGAAGTTCGGCAAGCAATATCATTTGATTAATCTGAGTGTAAGTTGTTTTTCAGATTACTGGAATTGAAATTCCAATTCTGATGGGAGAGCAAGATAAAAGAACTTCGTCTAAGTTTTTTGTGTTGAAAACTGAAGAATAGATACAGAAGCTGCGTATGATACCATTGATTACCTCTGCATGTAGCTTCTGATTTTGAGCCTTGAGGGAGTCATTATCAGCTTTCACAGCTTCAAACTGCTTCTTTAGAACTTCATACTCTTTCTCAAGCTGCTTGGTCTTCCACCTTGCTCTCCTATTCTGGAACCATATAGCGATTTGCCTCGGTTGAAGCCCCAAAGCCTTGGCAAGCTGCATTTTTCTCTCAGGCTCAAGCTTGTTCCCCAACTCAAAACTCTTCTCAAGTGCCTTCACCTGCTCCAAACTCAGCCTCTTCTTCTTCTCTCCTAGCTGAGATCCATCATCTGACAACTCGTCGTCTCCATGCACTTCATCGCACTTGTTCTCTATGCCTGAAAACGACATCGATCGCTTCATCATGAAACCTGCACCTGCACCACCCCCTAAACACCACACAGAATCAACACCACATATTCATATAACAACAACACAGCCTTCCTTTACCTAAAAGGAAAAACTTATCTTTTATCAGATGACCCGTATAATCTTTCAAAAAATCACATACCCGAGAAGATCAAGATTTTAAAAAACAACCCATGATTTCAAAGTTTCTAAGATCTTATAAACCACAAAGAAACTGCTACTGTAGTTCTATGGGCTACATTTATCAGGAATCACAATCAAACTGCGACTGCTATTTAAAAACTTGATATGCATACACATCAAGGTTTCAAATTGTGTTAGCTATCAGAGTTTCATCAAGATTCTTGATATTACAGATAAAAAACAGTCGATGTGGCTGAAATCACAGTCATGATACAATAACATAGAACAGAAAAGCTTTGACGCTGCAGGTACAAACGGTTATGTATGACCTTGATATACATCAACAAGTACAAGAATTGAGATGGAATTAGAGGTGTAGAGAGGGGGGATGTGGTTTTGTTGTGATTACCTTGAAAGTGATGGGGTGGGAAAGAGGGGAAGGCGTTGAGGGAGGAAGAGGTGGAGCGTAGGTGGAGTTGGTGGTGGTCATGATCTTCATGGGTTTGGAACATGAAGGTGTGAGAGGGAGGGAAGGCCATGGTAGAAGAACAGGGTGTTGTGGTGTTGATGTTGTTGTTGGTGTTGTGATGTTGTGAGTAGTATTATCATTCATTCATGCAAGGCTTTAGGAGGGTGACAGAATCAGTCCCAGAATCATCAAACTCTCTTTGTTGATGTGTTTGTCTGAGCTTGTTGTGTTTGGTAGAAGGGTTTGATGAAGAGGGTGGTGGCGATCACAGGAGTTTGGCTCTCACTCTCATGGTGACAGAGTTTTCAGAAAGAGGGATGGTGATGATGATAGGTATGCAGACCGAAAGACAGCGATTTTTAGGCTGAGAGACAGACAGCAGAGAGAGAAAACATCATAATAAGAGGTGTAAAAGCAAACGATGAAATGCTAGTATACATCAAATTCATATATTAGACTTTTCATGGACCCATCTTCTCTCTCTTCCTTCATTTTTATATCTAAATATATATTTATTCACTCACATACAAACTCTACATTCATATCATTTATGCAGTAACAGTTTTACATAAAGAGTACACATTCTTATGATTAATTAAAATAAACTTTATATATTATAATAATTTTATTATTAGAACTTGTTTCTTCTATTATTGTTATTATTATATATTTATATGAAAAGTTATTCACATAGTTAATTTAAGTAAATTATTATTAAAAAAGTAAAATTTGTAAAGGATTGAAATGAAGGTTAAATTATAAGTGACTCTTTAATTTTTATTTCACGGATTTGTTCTTTTATTTATTTTTCGTAATGTTAACATTAAATTTCAAAGTTATCAAATTTAGGTCAATATTAACATTGTATACGTTTTTTTTATAGTTTAAAATAAATCTTGTTGTAACATGATATTATCGAAAATTAAGAATCTCTAAATGCTAACATAAAATGTAAGCAAACTTTGAACCTTTCAAATGATTTTCTATCTCAAAAAACACTACTTATTTTTTATGAGCAAATTTTTATAAGGAAAAATAGTAAAAGAAGACTAAATTTGAGA